GGGGGGGCACAGTATTTTCCCCTCCAGAACTCCTTTACATAAGGAAAGATTGACCACAACCCAGAAAAGATCACAACCATCTATATGCTTAAATCATTAGACTGTTAAATCATGAATTTCAAGATCTGTAACTAATGATTATTTATTAAACAGAGAATATTTTCCAGAAATTCAAATTGCAATAAATAAAGCCCTAAAGATCATAAGTTTAATGATGTTTGCCTACGCAGCCTGCTTTTCATTGTGAGCTTTAAAGTGCCAAATATTTTTCTGATGAATAGGAAGCCAGGCAAAAACAGCTGAACAGGGAGAAAATACTCCAAAAGGCAACATACAAACCACAAGCCTTAGACACCATCAGAGATGACTCAAAATGAGATTCAAGAGCTACTGAAATATGAGTTAATAAAAGCAACAGGACTAATGCACTTTGTGATGTACACAGGCTGAAATTAAAACCAGAGTGGGAGGAAGGGAATTAACTGAGCTCAAACACAAGGCTCTTCACTTTCTCTTTGGGAAAAATATAATTTGAAAGATTATAACAGGAGGAGTGATGAAGAGAGGAAAGCAGTAGGGAAAAACAATTTTGCAAAAAAAGTGACAAGTATGTCCCCTCTCAATAAGGATCAAGTCTAGCAAAAAAAAAAAAAAAAATTTCTTTCTCGTTCAGTTTAGTGCCAAAACAGTGCATAAAGACAGCATTTGAATTATGAATAACGTATGAATAACATCAATAGCCTGAAAGTGAATTTTCTTGTCTTTTCAAAAAGCCCTCAAGAGACATCACAAAATCTTCTTCAATATTGCTCCAAATGGCAAAATGACTTGTGGACTCAGCAAATGTGCACAGCTTGATCAGGCATGTGATACCTCTGGAAAAAGTGGTGGAAAGAATGGGGAAAAGGAAACAGATACAGGCATCCAAACAGACAGGCAACTGGCATGGACATCAAGCAGACTAATACTTGCCACACAAACAATGAAAAAGTAAGAACCTTCCAGTTCAAAGCATCTTCTTTAGTGTAGTATCACATATCTTTTTTTAAAATTTTCAACCAAAAAAAACCCAAAAACTTGCTGTCTACAACCATGATTAAAATCATGACACATCAAATTAGCAATCAGTCATTACAAGATTCTAAAATCAGAATAATTGTCAGTAACCTTTTCTTTCAAGATGAAATAAAGTGATTTAGTTCACTCTATTCAGGTAAAGTTGAGTGTTCTGAGATTATAACTACTTGGACCTGTGAATTAAAATTTAAAGTGAATCTTTAAGTAAATGTGCAAATAAAGAGCACACCCTGACTAACCAAAGAATCCCAGAATGACAGAGCAGTTAGGGTTGGAAGGGACAGATCTGGGGCAGAGCTGCCCAAACCATGTGGAAGACCAGAAGCAATAAGGAGTGCTCACAGCACCTCCAGGGCTGGACACCCCAGCCTGGGAGTAGAATTGGAGAAGCCCATTTGAAGCTGGTGAAGCACTGAGCTGGACTAGAGATGCTAGGCTCTCTTCAGGGCTCTCTTGA